GGAAGCTCATCTCCTCTCAGCTCCTCTCACCCTCAGAGCACCTTCCCACTCCCGTGCTCCCCAGATGGCACAGGGCACCCTCATAGTGTTTTAAAACACGGGGACTGCCCTAACCGGTTTGGCTCAGGGGATAGAGCATCGGCCTGCAGACCGAAAGGTCCCAGGTTCGATTCCGGTCAAAGGCATGCACCTTGGTTGCGGGTACATCCCCAGTCGGGGGGGTGCAGGAGGCAGCTGATCGATGTTTCTGACTCTCCCTCTCCCTTCCTCTCTATAAAAATCGATAAAATACATTTAAAAACAACAATAATAAAATAAAAAAACATGGGTGACTTTCACATGGGATTGGATTGGGGGCTTTTTTGAGAAAGTGGGAGATGTGGCTGGCTCCGCCTCCCATTTCTGCGGGGCCGTGGTCAGCGGGGCTGAGCTCTGCGTTGGCCCCGGGCCCCTTACAGGGGGCGGGGAGGACAGGGGAGCTAAGGCTGTGAGGTGCATGGCCACCGGGAACCCCACAGAAATCCTCAGTCAGTGTTCCCGTCACCTCGAAGATTCTAAGCCTCGGTTCTGGGGGCGGGAGGGGGTGGGGGGCGGGAGGGAGAAGTGGCACTGGCCGATGATGGAGCCCGGCCGGGCCTGCCTGTGTGGCTGGGGGGCACGTGTGTGCATCCGCCCCGGGGTTCCGAGGCTGGGACACAGGTGGCTGAGGAACCGGAGAAGGGCCTGGCGCTGGCGCTGTGATCCAGGCAGCCTCGCAAGGAGGCCGTAGGAAGCCACACAGGAACCTGGGAGCCCCAGTCCTTTTTGAGAACCGGACTCCCACCCCCCACCGGCCGGCTCGATCTCGGTGGGAGGTCCTGGTGAGCCACCAGGACTAATTATAAACTCTCAGGCTCTCACGGCCCCGTGGAAGGCTCTGTGGCTGATGGGCTGGGGTTGTTTTCCTTGGAGAGATTAGCATCCCAGAGGCAAAGTGGGGGGACATGGGCTGGGGGTCAGGCAGACCTGGGTTCAGCTTGCCACAACCCTCTCATCGGGAGGATGGGAATAGTGCTCGCCTCCCAGGACGGTGGTGTGTGTGTGGGGTGTGTGTGTGTGTGTGTGTGTGTGTGTGTGTGTGTGTGTGTAAGTGCATCCTCACGGTGGCCACATACAGTCGTGTCTCCGGTGTTCAGTGGGTGGTGTGCCTCTCCCTCCCGCCCTCAAGCTCAGCAGCTCCCAATGATCTATCCGTTCCCGTGATGTCCTAACTTCCTTGTTGGCCAACAGGAGCCGGGACCCTCCTGTGTTTTGGGGGCTTGTTTAGCCTCCCCAGCTTCTCCTGCCTGGTCTATTTAACAGCCTCTTTGCTGGCCTCCCAGCCTCCAGTTCTTCTCCTTGAAGCTGTCCTCGAAACCGGCTGCCAAGATGATCTTTCAAAAAGGACACTTGCCCAAACCGGTTTGGCTCAGTGGTAAAGTGTCGGTCTGCAGACTGAAGGGTCCCAGGTTCAATTCCAGTCAAAGGCATGTACCTTGGTTGCGGGGGGTGTGCAAGAGGCAGCTGATCGATGTTCTCTCTCATCGATGTTTCTAACTCTCTATCCCTCTCTCTTCCTCTCTGTAAAAAAAAAAATCAATAAAATATATTAAAAAAAAAAAAAAAGGACACTCATGTCCCAGTTCCAGAACCTTCCATGGCTCCCCAGGGTCTTCATGATCCACTCCCAGCTTCTTGGAATGGCACTCAAGGTCCTCCTACTATGGGGCAAACCTGATGGCAACCACCTGTCAGCTCCGCTGGCCACGGCCCTGCAGAAACGTGGGCCAGTGGCAGCCACACCTTTCATTTTCCAAAGAAGCCCGAAATCCAGTCCTATGTGCAAGTTCCCCGTGTTTTAAAATATGGGGCGGATGCTCTGTGCCGTCTGGGGAGCACGTGAGTGGGGAGGTGAGCAAAGCTGAGACCAGACAGCCTGCTGACCGCTCCTTTCTTACTATAGAGCAGACGCTCTGAACTGGCTGGGGTGGAAACGGGAGGGAAGGATAAGAAATCTAGTGAGTAGATGCTGCTAGACATCCCTGGCCTCTGCTCCTCACAACAGTCCTCACACCAGAGAAGTTTCCGCCCCGAGTATCAATGGAGCCCAGGTTCTAGAGAACCTGCTGTAGAGTTGCTGGTGGCAACAACTCAACCAGCCCCCATCGCACCCCAATGGGACCATAGGATTAGTTCTCCCCAGCGGACCAGGTGTGTCACTTCCAGGAAGAAATAGGTGAAAAAGACATCTCCTCCATTGCGTCCCCTCCACCATTGGGTTGGCCAGATAGGACTTAGTGGATGGACATTCTGGTTTCATGGGACATCTGGAACTTAGAGGAGGGGAGAGCCACAGGTGGAAAGAGCCTGGGTCCCAGTCACCTGACCGAAGGTACCACCAGGTGTTTTAAAACAGAAATGAACTCTTATTGTGTTAAGTTCTGGATTTATCTTTAATAGAAGACGGGATTGTCTGGATGAATAGAAAATAATTTGTCAGATCATCTTTATTCTTTTTTTTAAAAAATTGATTTTCAGAGAGAGGAGGGAGAGGGAGCTAGAGAGAAACATCAATGTGAGAGTGAAACATCCAGAGGCTTGCCTCCAGTTCATGGAAACAAGAAAATATGGAGCAGAGACTCGAAGCCTCATCTCTCTGAATCACGGCCTTTTTAACCCATCAGGGTACCCCTGTTTTCCTCGAAGTATTTGAAGTTCCAGCACACGTCCAGGGGGCTTCCTCTCAGCCATTCCAGGGGCAGGTTGGCAGGCTCAGGGTGGTAATTTTTCCGGGAGCAGATTTTAGCCAATGTGGGGTGTACTTGGAGAATAAATACCCCAGTTCCCTCGCCCCCAGGGTGGGATACTCTGAAGTGCATTTCCCACCCAGGCTCCTGGAGGCCCATTGGATTGACTCCCAGTTGCTCATAATGGCAACTATGAAGATAACATCTTAAAACACCACACTGTACAGTTAGTTCAAGATGACTTATCTCTTTGTCCTGGCAAGAAGGTAGACAAGTAGTTTAATTTTTTAAAAAATGTTTTTATTGACTTCAGAAAGAGGAAGGAAGAGGGAGAGGGAGAAACATCAATAATGAGAGGGAATCATTGATTGGCTGCCTCCTGCACGCTCCCTCCTGGGGATCGAGCCCACAACACAGGCATGTGCCCTGACCTGGAATCTAACCATGACCTCCTGGTTCATGGGTCAACACTGAGCCGCACCGGCCGGGCATGTAAGTTTAATTTTTTATCTCAGCATCAGCGTGGCTGTATTTCTCTTTTTGCTAGGTCTGCTAGGAAGCTCAGAGGGAAATTTGCTCAGTTGCATTTTTACTTCCGAAGGATCCCCCACTCCTGGCATATGGTGTCTCAGCTTTCTGAGTTCATGTTTAAGTGGATGTGTGACGAGTCATTCATACTGGCCGCCTCGGAACCTGGTTGGTAGGAAGTTAGCACATGATAAACAGAGGGTGCCATTAATTGTAGGAGCTTTAAAGTCAAATTTAAATCCTAGCTCCACAGCTTGGAGGACCTTGGGTGATCCTCTCACATCCTGCACCTTGGTGTCCTCATCACCAAATGCAGATGGTGGGGCCTGCTTCCTAAAGAGGATTGTAAAGCATCAAGCACACAGCTAGGCAGATGGCAAATGATCAACATTAATTGCTATTATTGTTATAAGGATTTCATTCCAATGACGAGGGGAACAGACTCAGGGGACTCTGTATAACCCCATCTGCACCTGCCATCCTGCACCCAGTCCTCAGGCTTGACAATCAGGAACAGAGAGACTACAGTCACCAAGCCAGGCTGAAGCTCGGAGAGGGCAGGTAGCACAGCAGTGTAGTTCACCATTTGGTACAGGGTCTAGCACATACTCAACATTTGTGAATGAATGAATGAATGAATGGGCAGCTACCATGGGCCAAGGCACGTAGCTGTTTGTGGGTGCCACGCAGCCAGGATGTTTCAGAGCCCTAGCAGGCCTTCCTCCTGTGGGTTTCGGGGCACACAGACATTCTTCTGTAATCCTCACGGCAGCCTAGGTATGGGCTGTCCCCATTTTACAGATGGGAAGATGGAGATGCAGAGACACCAAGCACTTTGTCCGAAGTCACCCCTGGATGTTAAAGAACCCTCCCCCCACCCCAACCCCCACCTCCACCTCTGGCCTCAGTTCCTCCCTGACCACAAAGACTCAGCTCTGTCCTCAAAAATATTTGGAAACTTTTATTTAAATGTTTTGTGTTCCCTTTTAACCAACACCAAAAAGAGAAAGAGTTTCTTGCCGTTCCAAACAGGAGAGTCACTTCAGAGAGGAGCTGGCGTGTGTGTGTGTGTGTGTGTGTGTGTGTGTGTGTGTGTGTAGTGGGAAGTGTCTGCCGCCAGCCTGCTCTTCCCAGCCCAGGCCACCGGGGGCGGGACAGCCAGGCCCAGGCCCAGGAGCTGGCTTCCTGGAGCCCGGGAGCCCTGGGAGGCCTGGGATGAGTGAGTGAGCAAACCCCCATCCTGAAGAGGATTGGTCTCCCCTTCAGGCGGGGACATGAGCATGGAGGGCCCTGGGAGGTTCCAGACGGAAGGAGAGGGGGTGGGAGGGTCAGATCTGGAATGTTCCAAGGAAGCTCCAGAGCCTCCGGATCTGGAGAAGTATGTTTGCTAGAAAAATAAGACGCTTTGAGAATGTCTGCAGTCTGTTCTCTGCCTGCCCTTGAGAAACCTACCCTGTTGGCCAAAGGGGCCTCGGGTGGGGTGGGGGTGGGGGTGGGGGCTGGGCGCTGGGCTGGGCCCAGTGAGGGACCGGAAGGGAGCAGGGCGGGCAGCGGACTTTGGTTCCTGGGTCCCCTTCCTTGCAGCTGCAGAGGCTGTGGGTGCCCCACCTCCCTGCCCCTTGAGGTGCGGGCCGCAGGCGGTGTGCACGCTGGGAGAGGGAGGCTGGCCGTCTGTCACGGGCTGGCGGGTGCCCCGGGCCTGGGCCCTCAGAACAGGACGCCCAGGGGGAGCAGGGCCAGCAGGAGCACCAGGGGGCCTGGGGCGGGGCTGCCGGAGGAGCTGGCCGAGGCACAGTGGTCGCGGTTGGCGCCGATGCAGGCCGCGTACGCCATCACGTGGGGGATGTAGTTCTGCTCGTGGACGCCGTGCAGCAGGTGCGCCATGGGGCCCTTGGCGAACACCGCCACGTCCTCCCCGCCGTGGGTCTCGTGGCGCAGGGGCACGGCGGACTGCGCCTGGTAGTTGTTGTGAGCTGCGGGCCGGAGGAAACACTAGCAGAGCCCACCAAGGGCCTGGCGCCATGCAGCTGCTTCCCCCTGCCCCTCCCGGGCTGGCCGGAGTGACCCATTTTGCAGAAGGGAAAACTGAGGCTGCGTGCGTGGAAGGCGTTCCACACAGGCCACAGGATTCTGGCCTGAGTCTGTTCTGAACCCTCAGAAGAGAACATCAGCTCTTTGGATTAGAAGGAAAGAGTCAACCTGGGAGAGGCTCTTACCATTGGCTGTACATTAGACCCTCCTCCCCTCCCCCCAGGGGTCTCTGGGGACATCAAAACAACTGTACATTCTACGCCCTGACAAGTTTGGCTCAGTGGATAGAGCGTCGGCCTGCAGACTGAAGTGTCCCGGGTTTAGTTCCGGTCGGGGGCATGTACCTTGGTTGCGGGCATGTCTCCAGTGGGGGGTGTGCAGGAGGCAGCTGATCGATGTTTCTCTCTCATCGATGTTTCTAACTCTCTATCCCCCTCCCTTTCTCTCTGTAAAAAAAAAAAATCAATAAAATATTTTTTAAAATGCACTTTCAACAATAGGGAATTGGACTGGCTCATGCACTGGAATATTACGCAGCCAGTAAAAACGACAGGGAGCAGCAAACCCCTGTGTGTGCCAGGTGCCATGCTAAGCTCATCAGGCCCCTTTCGTTTTCCAGGCGACCGTGGGAGGTAGAACCCGTTCAGGGAGGACACTGAGGCTGAGAGCTGAGGTTATGGGCCCAAGGTCCCAGAGCTCATGAATGGTCCGAGGGAATTCACACCGGGACCGTTCTGACTCAGCGCCGGCTGTTCTGAGACCCCGGACCTTGACCACAAGCCTACACTCTGTTCCAGGCCCACCCCGAGGGGCGTCCTGCCCCCTCCCAGCCCTGCGTCGTGGCATCTCACCGTAGTCCACCATGGAGACGTTCTCTCGCTCACCGCCCACCACCTTGTAGCCGGGCCCGTTGCCGTACAGGATAGCGGTAAAGGGCTTCTTGTCAGTGTCGCTCAACATGGGGGCCAGACCTGCACAGGAAGACGGAGGTCCAGGGGTCCTGTGGGAGCTCGGGGGGTACAGTCCCTTCGAAGGGCCCGACCCGCCTCCCTGAAGCCACCTTCCAAACCTGATTGACTTCCCACCACCATCCTTCAGTTTTCGCTGCGCCCACATCCCTTCCCCGCATCCATCAATCCATCCTCTCTCTCACTCTACCCGTCCGTCCATCATCTAGCCCAGTGGTCGGCAAACTCTTTAGTCCTCAGAGCCAACTATCAACAGGGCAACGATTGAAATTTCTTTGGAGAGCCACATTTTTTTTAAACTTAAACTTCTACTGCCACTTCTTCAAAATAGACTCGCCCAGGCCGTGGCGTTTTGTGGAAGAGCCACACTCAAGGGGCCAAAGAGCCGCATGTGGCTCGCGAGCCGTAGTTTGCCGACCACGGGGCTAGGCAGCTGGCCACCCACTCATGCATTCCCCTCGCTCAGTCCTTCCACTCTGCATGCCCCCAACCACCAGTCAGTCCTCACGAGTGCCCCCTGTGCCAGGCACTGGGCTTGCCGGCTCTCCAGCACCCTCCTGCTCCCAGGTGCCCCCCCAGGGAGGCCTACCTACCGAAGATCGAGTTGCCCCGGGGGGTGTACCCGCCGAAGGTGAACACGTGGGAGTGGTCGGCGGTGACGACGGTCAGCGTGTCCTCCAGGGAGGTCATGGTGCCGGCCAGCCCGATCGCCTGGTCCATCTCCACCGCCTCGTGCAGCGCCTGCTTGGCCTTGCCCTCGTGGTGCCCGTGGTCGATCCTGCCTCCTTCGGACACCAAGGCAGAGGCCTCGGTGAGGAGGAGGGGGAGAAGGCGGGCAGCCCCGAGCCCCACAACACCACCGCGGGGTCATCTTCCTCGGGTGGGGAGCTGCCACGTGCCAGGCACCCGAGGCTTCCACGCAGCCATTCGGCCTGGCCAGTGGTTCAGCTGGGTGTCTGCGTTGCTGGGCCAAAGGCTTACACGTGGAGAGAGTGCAAGGCCAGGAAAAGCAGATCCGCCTGACTCCTCCCACCACCCCACGCTGCTCCCAGCACCCCTCCTTCAGCTGCTCGGAGTCCCCGAGACATTGGAGAGGCAGGGAGGGAACCCACATGCCTGAGTGCCCCCTAGATGCCAGGCATGACAAGCCGGTGTCTTGTTTCCCCCTCACATCAATCCTGGGCAGAGGTGAGCACCATCAGCCCCATTTACAGACGGAGCCACTGAGGCCTGGCGTGGGGAAGTCACGCGTTTGCTGGGATCTGAACGCAGGTGTGCCTCGCTCTAGATCACCTGCTTTCCTCCTGCACTTCGAACAGACCCGCTGAGCGAGAAACTCAGCCCTAATGCATCTCACGCTGCCGCCACAGTGAGCACAAGAGGCCTGGCACGAAGCCGGCTTCAAGATCTCAGTCACGGGCTGCGTGACCTGCAGGAGCGCCTCCTTGTCTCCCACCAGGAGAGGCTGCCTGGGTGGACACTCCCCACGCGGAGGGTCCTGGGCCCAGGGGCATGGCCACCCGCCCTGCCTGAGCCCCGCCGCTCGGCCGGGCAGGCTGGGAGGGCGGGCCTCTCCTTTGTTGTGGCTCCGGAGCAGCTGGCCTGGCGGGCCCCGTGCTGGCCCCGCTCACAAAGCCCTCCGCTCCCGGGGGAGCCCCAGCTCTCCGCCTCCCGCCGGCTCTTGGCTGGCTCCTCGGCGTCAGAGGCCTGGTCCGGGCCAGGCCGAGACCGAGACCGAGACCGCCATGCTTGAATGGGAACCCCGGGGTTTGGCAAGAAAGTGGTCAAGCCGGGCTGGCGGCCACTGGCCTCTGGAGGGCGGAGGGGTCTGAGTGTGTCTGTATGTGTGGAAATGTGTGCGCGCGTGTGCGTGTGCGTGTGTGTGTGTGTGTGTGTGTGTGTGTGTATGTACATGAAGACAGTGGCTGTTAGGACTTTGGGAGATTCCAGGACCTTTACCGTGTCCTCAAACTTCCAAGTACGTTATGTCTCTGAACATAATGGATGCTATAACCCTCCTGTGAGAGGGGACTGCGTGGGCCTCGTTAAAGAGAAACGTCTGGTGGAGGCCACACAGCCGGTGGAGGCCACACAGCCGGTGGAGGCCACGCAGCCAGTGTGACCCCAGCCCGAGCCTGACCCAGCACCTCGCCACGGCCCGGGGAACTATGAATGCCGCATACAGCACTGCTCACTCCCCAGGAGGACCTGGGTTATCACAGGGCCTGCCCCGGCCTTTTCTTCTCAGGGACCGGACTCAGGAGCCTGACCTTGGCCCCACACATGCCTAGGAACAACGGAAGTCCAGCTGTGAGGCCTCTTGTCCCGCCGTGAGGCTCCCGTGGACCAGCAGGCATCTGCATAAGAGTCCCCTGGCCTGTGTCCTTGGGCCCCCTCAGGCAGCTGCTCTGAGTGCAGATGTCTCCTGGGCCTGCGGGTTTGTCCTTTGGGAGGGGTGAAGCTTAGGGGGTTGCACACCCCTCCAGAGCCAGGCGTCCGGGAGGACCTCCCAGAAGGAAGAAACCCGCCTCCTCTTCCAGGAAGCCTTCCTGGACTAGGAAGCCCGCGCACATGTATGGGTGACAAGCAGCTTGTTGGGCTGGGAGCTTCAGCGCTGCCCTTTTCTCCCACAACCCACACCCCATCCTCCCCAAAGGACTTCCCCCCATCCTCCCACACTGGACAGTTCCCCTGGAGAGCGGGGGGCCCCCCTGTGCCCTGGCCTCAGGGCTGTGCACCCACAAGCTCTACCTTCCACCAGCAGGAAGAAGCCTCTGGGGTTCTTGCTCAGGATCTTGATGGCGACCTCCACCATCTCGGAGAGGGACGGGTCCGTCACGTTGTTCCTGTTCAGCTCGTACTGCATGTCCCCCGGCTCGAAGAGGCCTGCGGAGGGGGGGGCGGGGAGGCGTCACGACCAGCCGGGAGGACCCCCGAGGACCCGGCGGTGTCTGCGGGAGCACCGGCTCCCCACCCACAACGTGGGGGCAAAGCGGAGGGAAGGCAGCTCATCTGGATGGCTCGTGGCACCCCAAGTGTGGTGTGGGCGCACCATGGAGAGAGGTCACCGTGTCCGTTTAAAGAGGAGACCGAGGCTCAGCAGGTCGGTAACGGCTGTTTTCAGCTGCTGAGTCGAGATCTGGGAATCAAGTCCCTCCACCCACCTCCCAGCCTGAAGGGCCCCGGACACAGCACCGTGTCCCTCAGGCAGGACTGTGCTCTGGACTGGACCGGGCAGCGTGGCTGCGTGTTTACAGGCCAGCCACAGGCCAGGGCTGAAGTGCACAGTGCTCTGCGCAGGCAAACAACAGGAGGTTTGGGGTCACTGTCCCTTCTGCTCACTGAGCTCACTTGTCCCGTCTTGGAAGCAAGGAATGACCCATTTCTTGTCCATGTCACGAGATGGCATGTGCACTGGCTGGCGTTTTAGGTTCTGGGCCTCCTTCCAGAAAAATCGCCCTTCCTCCCGTGAGTGCGTGCACAGCCAGACAAGAGTTCCGGTCCGCAGAATGCTCACTCTGTATCACGTGCCACTCCGAGAGGTGCCAGCCCCCAAGAGGGCACCCAATGAGCCCGGGCGGGCCCCCTCCCTCAGTGACTAGGGCAGCAATGGAATTCTGCAGGAACAATGATGTGTGACTCTCAGGTCTGGGCCTAAGACACGGCGGCTTCTGCTCCGCATGCTCTTGGGATTCTGGGAGAAGCCGGCCGCCATGTTGGGAGGACACTCAAGCAGCTCCATGGAGAGGTCCATGGAGCAAGGAACGGAAGCCTCCTGCCAGCCCATTAGCCACGTGAGCGAGCCATCTTGGAAACCCAGAGCCAGTCTAGATGACGGCAACCTCCTGAGAGACCCAGCCAAGCTGCTCCTAATCCCTGACCCCAAAACAGCACAAGCAACAACAATCTACTCTTATTTTAAACGTAAGTTTTGGGATAGTTGAACACACAGCAACCTCTAACCTATACAATACACTAGCTCATTTAACCCTCATGACAACCTTGAGGCAGGCCCTATCATGATCCCCGTTTTATAGAATTACTCCTCCTTTTAAAGAGGAAACTGAGGCACAGAGAAGCTAAATCACCTGCTCGAGGTTGCACAGCTCATACATATGTGGTGGGAGCTGGATTTGAACCCGGCACTCTGGCTCTACGAGCCATGAGTGGCACTGTTCTGCTCCATGTGTGGTAGAGTCTGTGCCATGGGACCCAGACAAGCGGAGGGCTGTATGTGTCTGGGGCATCCTCCAAGCGCCCAGCTCTGAGCCCATAATCACCAACGACACACCCAGGACCCGAGGACTGAGCTGCTTGGGAAAGGTTTGCAGGAGGCTTTGCCACCACTTGCTGGGCATGCTAGCCGGATGGGAAAGAGGACTCAGGTGTGTCTGCATGGGGTGCTCACGTCCCCTGCCACCTAACCCAGGGCCCTACCACAGCTCCCTTCCCCCTGCGGAGAAGGGCGCGCGCACACGCGCGCGCGCACACACACACACACACACACACACACACACACACGGTCAAGACCAGCAGAGACAGCCAGGCTGGCTTCCGCCCTGGCCACACAGCAGGGCTGGCTCCAGGCCCCCGCTCCACGGCCTGGGACGTGTTTGCCTCGGCTCCGACTTACCTGGCCGCACGCTAGTCAGCGGGTGGCGTGCCGAGGTGGCTTCCGTCTCTGACCTTCAGTGTCCCCTGTGCTCAATGTACTAGTCTCCCTGCACAGCCAGCAGATCTGGGGCCGAAATTCTATGAACCAGAACCCCTTCTTCACCCCTCGCAGGCCCCGGAGCCTGAGGGCAAAGATCCCTAAGGGGGGGAGGGGCTGGCAGGCTGAGACCTCACCCCCAGGTGCTGGGTCACACAGCTCTGGCCCCAGGGCACCCAGCCAGGCACCCACCACTCCAACCCCCGGCCCCCTTACCTAAGAGGTAGTCCACGGTGTTGGGGTTGAGGGCCAGGAGTTCGGTGCGATTCCAGACGTAGTGAGAGTGCTAGGAGGAAGGGCTTGTCAGTCGTGTGGGGACTGGGGGAGTGACCCCAGCTGGTCCCTGAGTCTGGGACATGTGTGTGTGAGTGTGTGTGTGTGTGTGTGTGTGTGTGTGTGTGTGTGTGTGTTTCCTTCCATCCTTTCACAATCCTTCCCTGAGGACTGACCATCCCCACCCTCAAGAAATGACAAATAACTAGGTAAGTCTAATGTAGGGGAAGGATCCTGAGAGACCAGGGGAGGCTGAGCCCAACGGTGAGATCAGGGAGGGCTTCCTGGTGGAGGCGGTGTCCTAATGAGGCCCTGGAGGACAAGTGGAAATTGTTCAGCCTGGCGCCAGGGAGTTGAGTTCTAAATAGAGGGACATGGGGCACGGAGGAGGCAGGCATAGGTCCCAAGGAGTCTTGAGTGCCCCCTGAGAGGCATGAGCTGTGTTCGTTGAGCCATGGAGAGCTGGGGGGGAGCGAAGCCCTCGCTCTGCCCGGGGGACCCCCTGTGTCCTGGGTGCAGGGCACAGAGGCCACAGAAAGAGGCTGGTTGTCTTGCCTGGAGGTGGCAGCCTTCAGGGCCCAGACTGGGGGTCCTGGCACTGCCAGTTACCCGCTCTGTGTCCTGGGGAGTGTCCTTTCTCTGGGCAGTAACACTGGGATCAGTGGTTTTCAAACCTCAGGGGTTATTGTTGGAAGGAGGCTATTATGGCTAAGACAATGGGGCTCTGTTCCCCCGCTCCCATCCTGTCCTCTGCTTCCCAGAGGTGTGGGTGTGTTATCCCATTGAACCCCACATCGGCCCTATGAGGTCGGGGTGATCATGTCCATTTTACGGATGAGGAAACTGAGGCACACAGATGCCATGGCTATTAGGTGATAAAGAGGCATGGTTCACAATGCATGTATGGCCTCCGGGGAGCCCCGGTGATCCCTGCCCAGGCCAGTGCTGGGGCCCTCTCCTTCCCTTGGGGGACTAGACTGAGCTCCGTGAAGCTCCGGGCCCAGGCAAGAATTAAGCCCCGCTCCTGCGTCCCAGGTAGGGACATGGAGGCTGTCTTGCAGGCCTGGGCTGGGAGCGGCTCTGGCCCGGCCCGAGCTGACTCAGAAGGAATGGGAAAGGTTCAAAGCAGCTCACCAGCCCCACGGGGGCCATTCCCCAGCCCTTGCCCCCAGCTCACTCCTGGCCCGGCCCCAGCCCACAGGGCCTCCCCTGGGGCCGGTCCTGGAACCCTCAGAAACCCAACCCCAGCGTGACATCAAAGTGGCTGCCAGGCTGCTCCCACTGTCTTCAGCGCTGACCACAGTCATGCAGACCCCAGCTGCCCCGGGCCCGGCGGCCGGCAGCCCCGGGAGCCAGAGCCCTGGCCCTTCCCACGTCCCTGCCTCCCTTCCCCAGCACGTGCCCTCGCCCTGGCCAGAGCCAGCTCCCTGTGGAGGGCTGCTGCCTCCCGCCCTGCCGCCTCTGCCTGTGAGACCTCCAGCAGGTCCTGGGCACCCACCACGCGAGCAGACGGTGCTCCCCGTTTCCTTGACCAACCGATCCATCACTGGACCTCATGCCAGTCAGGGGCCCTGCACACAGTAGGGGCTCAGGGGACTGAATGTTGTGCAGGCTATTCCCTGGCCCACCCCCCTTCGTGCGGCCTAGCTCTCCCATCGCCCTCCCCTGAAGGAAGGAATTGATTGATTACCTACTACGTGCCATTCCTGTATCTGATAGGCCATGTGAGCCCGCTGAGGTAAGAAGTATGACCACCCAGCCCCGGCCCCACCGCAGGCCACCCGGCATCGGCCCCTGAACGGCTGGCTACCTTGTGTCTGGGCTTGAAGCTCTTCCAGATGTCGATGAGGTTCAGGCCGTCCAGCCTTGTGCCCCTGGCCTTCTCGTCCTGCTCGTACTCCACGTCAGTTCTATTCTTGGGGTACATGTACTTCCGGCCGCCCCCCATGATCACCTGGAGGGGGCAGGAGCCGTCAGCACCCTGGGGTCCCCAGCTGTCAGGCAGCCCCGGGGGCCCGTGGCGTGGGTGTCTCTCCCCCTGGAGAGTCCCGGGTCAGTCCGCGCTGCTCCCGGGGCCTCCCCTATCCCGGTGGGGGCGGGCAGAGTCTGCGGGTCCCCGCCCTCACCTGCTCTCCAGACCCTGATAGAAGCCCCTTGGGGAAGAGCAGTGCCGCGGAGCACCCCAGACACATCCCCCTCGACTTCACCCCAGGCTGCAAGGAGCCGTGTACTGCACCCACTTTCCCCATGAGGACGTGGCTGCAGAAATTGGCTTTCTTTTCCCCAAGGTCACACAGCCAGGAGGGGCAGAGTCAGGATTCGAACCCAAGCCTCCTCCTACCGTGGCACCAGGGCCCCCCACTGTGCCCGCAGAGCCCACGGTGGAGGCTCCAGGAGCTTCCTCTCCCCACAGCCAGGGGCGAGGTGCCCGCAGGCCGAGGCCTCGCCGGGAGGTCCCGGGGCAGCCCAGCGGGAGCCGGGCGCAGCGGCCAGGGCTGCCGTCGGCGGAGCCACCGCCGGGCTAATTTTACCCGCGCGGGCGGGGGGCGCGGGCTGTTTGTGTTCCTTGGGAGCCCATGTTTGAAGTCCTGACTATTTTTAAAATGGGGCCAAGAGCATAACAGCTGCCGCCCACAGCCACCACCGCACCGGTGTCCCGCCACCGCAGGCGTCAGCCCAGGCCGCCGCCCCTGGCTGACACCTCGGGGCGCAGCGCCGGCGTTTCCAGCCCCCCACCTTCCGCTGCCGGCCTCCCGGGCCCGGCGGTGCGGGGAGGTCCGGATGGGCAGGGCGCCCGGGACCTGCCGGGATCACGGGGAACTGGTGGGGACCAGGCTCTGAATCCTGACTGTCCCTTCCTGACCAAGGGCCTGTCCCTCTCCCCTCAGAGCCGCCGTGTCCTCTCCTATAAAATGGAAATAGCACCCCCCCCCTCCCCGAACTGGCCAGGAGCACTGCAGGCACCCAGGGGGGCCTCCGCAGAGGGGGGTTCCCATAGGGGCACATTCTCTGGGGTGAGCAGCCTGTGCGAGGAGGAGGAAGAGGAGGAGGAGGAGGAGGAGGAGGGGCCGGGTCACTGACCCCTGGGGGCTCCCCGCCCCCCCCATTCCCACAGAACCTGACCCCTTGGAGCCTCCGGCGTGGAAGCGAAGCCCCCAATCTTCGTGCCGGAGCCTCCCGGTTCCAGCCGGCAGAGACTTCACACGGGCTCATTAAATCCCAAATAACAGACTTGCTGTTTGGCTTTGGGGTTTGGGTTTGCGTCTTTCTTTTCCCTGTTGTTTTTTTAGCCAAAGATATTTATTTTCAGGGCGGACACCGGGATTTTTGTTTCACGGGCGGCCTGGGGGCCGGGGGCTTTGGTGGCGGAGACGCAGGGCCGATGGGGGAGAAAGGGAGGAGGAGAGAGGAGGCCGGGGAGGAGGGGCGGTCCTCGCCCGGCCCTCCCGCCTCCCGCTCGCCCACGCTCATCCCCCGTGGCTCCTGAGGACACCCCCCGTCACCCCAGCCCTCACCCCCACGGGAGAAACCTTCCCTGAAACTCCTGTCCCCTCTCAGGCGGCTCCTGCCAAACCTCTCTAAAGAGCGGCCCCATAATTATACCCTGCGCTTGTACAACAAATGTTCTCACATCATGACCTCATCTCGGCCTCCGGTGGCCCGAGGAGGGGGCACGCAGGCTCTCTGTTCCCGTACAGGTGGGGACACTGAGTCGGGGAGGAGCAGAGACTGGTCCCAGGACATGGGTCAGGATGGTGGCCGGGCCTCGGATATAGGATCACTACATGGGCCAGCGGGACAGTGTGTCCTGAAAGGTGTTACGCCCCCAATAGGAGAAGGGGAGGCTTGGGCTGGTACAGAGGCCAGGGGGCACTTTGAAATTGGGGGGAACTCTCTGGGGGCCAGAAGGAGGGTCTGGGAGCCAGCACGTTTGTCTGGTAAGGTTAGAAACAGGTAAGGGGTAGGCAGGACCTGGAGCTCCCTCTGAGCCTCCCCGAACCCCTTCTAGGCTCGGGGGGCCATAGTCCCCCCAACCTGATCCCCACTGAGAAAGGAACACGCTGGAGGTTCTCATTTAGGGAGAGACAGTGGGGACCCCTCTGGACATGTGTGGGTGGCAAGCGTTCCTGCACCTGCTCGGGGTTTTAACGCTTGCGTTTCGGGGCAAGGACAAGTGGCTCACTCATCATCAATGCCACCGCTTTCTGAGCAGTCACTGGGTGTCAGGCCCTGCAGCCTCTTCGGGGACCATTGCATTTGGCTCTTGCAACGGGCTTACTGAGCGACAGGTACATTTCCCCAAGGGGGTGTGGAAGGGAAGGCTCCGAGAGGTGAAGTGACTGACCCAAAGTCACACAGCCGGCAAACAGGGCGAGGGTTTGAACCCAAGAAGTTTAACAGTGCGAGTTGGTGCTGCCCCGTCCACACCACCTTGCCCCTGGGTGTGCTGGAGGAATCCGTGGGGCACATGCCTGTTGGTGCACGTGGGCATGTGCGGGGCAGACTCTCCTCCGATGGCCACCCCGCCTCCCCGTGTTGTGGGGGTGCCGTGCCAGGCTCCCATTGACGAGATAATCCCTGGGCGCCTGGTTCTTAGTGTGGTGGCGGCCACATCGGGGTTTATCCCTCAGCCCCACCGGGGAGAGATCCTGCCGAGCCTCGCTGCCCGACCACAAATCCTCTAATGGGCCGGAGCCCTCCCAGGTGTTTGGGGAGCCAGGCCAAGCTGCTTCTCCCGGGCCAGCCTGTACCTGAGGCCTCAGCCTCCCTCCCCTCATCTGAGATCCTGCCTCCCAGCCCGGGGGCCCCTGCACTGGCTGCACCCCCAGAACTCGCCTCAATGTCCCTGACGTTGTGCATGAGCTGGTAGGCAATGTCCTTGCAGCCCTGGCTCAGGGCCTCTGCGGGCATCTCGTTGTCCGAGTACCAGTCCCGGTCGGCGGAGTGGGCGTAGGAGGCGCTGGGGGTGGCGTGGTTCACTCGCGTGGTGGTCACAATGCCCACGGATTTCCCTGGGGGGTGGGAGAGGAAGAGTGGTTGGCTTCACCTGGAGACGGTGGTGTCCAGGCCGCCTCTCCCTCCTCCTGGCTAAAGCCTGGCCTCCTGTTAGTTGCCATGACTGCCTGGGCCTCAGTCTCCCCATTAGTACTTAACGGGGGCAGGGGAGAGGACTTCAATGTACGCTGGCAGCTCAGACAGTGCCTCCTGGAGGACCTGAGCTGTGAGCACCTGGGCGGAGTCCTCCCCTCCACTGAGGAGCCTGCAGGAGCACAGCGGGCCCCTGCGGGCTCTCAGGTGGTGGCGTCCCCTGTGCCAGCTGGCCTCGGACCCTGGACCATAAAACTCCAGAGGACTCGGGCCAGAGCCTCCCGCTTCCAGGAGGAAGGAGGAGGAGATGTTTCCTGACCCCCCCACAGACTGGCACCGGGCTGGGCCCTGGCCTTCCTCACACCAAGCCTCGGAGGGACCATGTTTTCGTGCCTGTTTCACAGTGGGAGCAATGGCCTTGGGGAGATGCTCCAGGACCAGGTCCCACACCGGAGTGGGTTCCTAACCCACCAGCCTCCCTGTCCCGGGCAGGATCCCCTGAATCGGAGAATCGGAGCTGGAAGAGCTCTGCAGAGCACCTTTTTCCTACCCTCCCCCCATTGTACAGCTGGGAAGACTGAGGCCCCGGCAGGTCACGCCCCCCTCACCGGCGTCCTTGGCCCAGCGCAGGATGGAGGTGACCTCGTTGCCCTGGGTGGTGTTGCAGTGGGAGCGCTGGGTGGCGGCGCTCACGCCCACGGTGCCCTCGTTGGCCTTCACCCCGCACAGGTAGGCGGTGGCGGTGCCCGCGCTGTCGGGGACCTGAGCGTTGGTGTTGTATGTCTGCAGGCAGGGAGGGAGGGTTGGAAGGTGGCCAGGCCCTGGCCCACCCCGCTGCCCGCCCACCCCCATTCACACCACAGGGCCTCAGTCCCACCCTCCTGCGGTCCTCCCCTCACCCCCCAGAAGCCAGGAGACAGGCTCTGTCTCCCTCACAGAGAGGCCTCTCCCAGCTTTGGCTGAGCCCTGCTGCCCGCTGAGGTCCCCGAGCCACAGCACCACCATGCTGCCTGCTTTCTGCCCCCACTCCCCTGCCCTGGCAGCCAGGGTGGCAAAGAGCAGGAAGGCCACTCTCCAACACGTGGGAGCGATTGGCAGAGGAGGGGGGCTGGGCCAGCTAGGCCTCTGAGCCTGGACTGTAGGAGCCAGCAAGGGGGAGGGGAAGGCAGGTGAGTTCTGGAGAAGGGAAAGAAGAGGGGAGGGAGGCTCAGTTCTTGAATGGGGCGAGGGGAGGCAGGATCTAGAATGGAGACATGGGGACGAGGCCTTCTCCTGCTTCAGAGCGTCACAAGCATGTCAAACTCATTTATTATAAAAGGCATGTGGATGGCCGGCTGCGAGTTTGACATGCTTGGTCTAGAACTGTGGTCGGCAAACTGAGGCTCATGAGCCACATGCGCCTCTTTGGCCCCTTGAGTGTGGCTCTTCCACAAAATACCACGGCCTGGGCGAGTCTATTTTGAAGAAGCGGCACTAGAAGAAGTTTAAATTTAAAAAATGTGGCTCTCCAAAGAAATTTCGGTCATTGTGCTGTTGGTATTTGGCTCTGTGGACCAATGAGTTTGCCGACCACTGGTCTAGAGGATCTTTAGTTCAGAGCACCACTGCCAGCGATGACGACACCAGTGACAACAGCAGCCACCGAATTAACGTCCCAAGCCACCTTGGGAGAGAATGAATGCAACAGAACCACGTGGATGAGTAGATACGGCCGATTCCCTTTAGATCAAGTACAAACGCAGGGACAGCTAGTCTACGGGTGGGAGGGGTGGGGGCTCGGGCTGTGACGGGCCTGCGGCCTCTGGTTGCTGTCAGTTCATCCACCCGGATGCCAGTTATACCGACACGGGCAGTTTGTAAAAACTCACGCTGTGCATGTGTGCACTTTTGTGCATGTTATTCTTCAATCGATTTTTAAGAATCAACGAGCTAAGCCCTCAAAATAAAGTCTCGGGAAGTAGCTGCTGCTGCTCCCATTTCACAGAAGGGCCTCGGAGGCCCCAGGAGGGCAAGTACTTTGCCCCCCACCCCGTCTCCTGCGAGCTGCCGGCGGAGAGGGGTGCGGGGCTCACCTTGGAGAGGGCCACATGCGGGAACTTGTCCATCTCCAGCCGGGTCTCCTCCCCGGTGTTGTGGTGCAGCTGGCCCTTGAGGATGCGGGCGGCCGTCACCGTGGAGACGCCCATCCCTGCGGAGGGGAAAAGAGGGCACCAGCCTCGCCAGCCAGTCTTCTCGGGCACCCACAGCTCTCTAGTTTGGTGCCAACTCAGGCTGGGCACTGGGCACCAGAGAATGGCTCTGGAACTGTGACTGGGCACCCCTTCCCTCCCCAGACCCTCAGGGGACCGCCTGGGACAGCCTGGCCCCACCCTCTAAAAATGTTCCCAGGGCTACAGCCTCTTCAGCACAGACCCTCCACCTCTGCCTAGCCTGCGCCCCCTCCCCCGGGTGCCCTGTCCAGCCCCCCCTCGGCCCCAGGCCTCACCGTCTCCCAGGAACATGATGGTGTTCTTAGCCACGTTGGTGTTGAGCTTCTGAAGGCTCAGGGCATGTTTCAGGGTCTGCTGGGCTTGGTCTCGCCAGTACTTGGGGTCTTTCTCTTTCTCTGTACAAACAGCAAAGCAGCGTTATTTGGCAAGGGGCGGGCCTAGCTGCCCATCCCCAGACTTGCAGGTACCTCAGCTTCTCATACCCGAGGGCAGGGTGCCGGGATTGGGGCGGGAGCAGTCACGGTGTGCTTGGTGAACCTGTTCCTGTCTAATCTTCCAAACAAGCCTATGGGCACTGGGTCTTCTCCCCACATCTCAGAATGGAAAAACAAAGGCTCAGAGACACCAAGTGACCAGCCCAAGGCCACACAGCACTGGCAGACACGGGCAGAGCTGAGTTCCACGCCAAAGCCCAGGCTCTTTCCTCCCGCCCAGCAGAGCGACATTTCTGCCAAGGCAGCAAGTGGATCGGGCTGGCGCGAGATTAGGAAGGTAATGTTTAAGCCGTTCAAGAGAACAAACTACTTACAACGGCGGGAGTCCCCAGGGGTCTCAGTCATCAATTATAAACTCTGCGTGGCTTACTGATTAAAGCGGTCTCAGCAGGAACCCGGCTTAGCGCTGGAAAGTGAGACTTGTCTTTTGTGTAAAGACCTGCCTTTTGTTTAAGGAACCAAATGGAAATAGCTACGCACAACCTCACTCCAGTCAGGATAATTTAGCACGTTCTGAATCCCCAGTCTTGAGATAAAACGGAGCCAGGAATGCTCTCTTTTCTTCCTCTTTTTCCTCTCTCCCTCTGTCTCCCTCGCCCAGTAGTCAATCCTCCAGGGCAGTGGTCGGCAAACTCACTAGTCAACAGAGCCAACTAGTCTACGGCCATACCACCCTGAACGCGCCCGATCTCGTCTGACGATTGAAATTTCCTTTGAGAGCCGAAAACCGACTTCCGCGCATGGGCCACGAAGTGTCAATCGCACTGTCTGTGCGCGCCCACACGTGGTGTTTTGTGGGAGAGCCACACTCCAGGGGCCAAAGAGCCGCATGTGGCTGGCGAGCCGCAGCTTGCCGACCCCTGCTCCGGTGGAGAGGACACAGCTGTGGTGTCTGACGAACCTCAATGCCCCCCCTTCCCCACGCGGCTGTGCCAAGTCCCTGCTGTGTAGACAGGTCACCTCCCCGAGCCTCAGTTTCCCCCCCTTCAAATGCGTGGTCTGTACCTTCCTCTCAGGGTCTTATGAGGAGTGGATTAGGCAGTGACACACCTGAGGGCCCCCAGGAGAAAAATGAAAAGCCCCCCCCTCTCACCCCTCAGGCCTGGACTCCCATGTTTTTCCAGAGGCCCGGCTCCCTATGCCCTGGGCATCGGGGCCTTCCCGTGCCTGCTGGGCTCCCCTCTGTACGTGGGCCCCTTAAATCAGTGCATTGGGGTACAGAAGCCTCGAGATAAGCTCTGTCTTCCAATGCCTCCCGGTCATAGAAGGGAAGGCTGAGGCCGGGAGGCGTGGGGGAGTCTTGTCTAAGGCTGAGGACTCGCGCCTCACCCCTGGGCCCAGCTCAGGCCTGCAGGGCTTCCAGGCGAGTGCCAGGAGCCTCGCACACAGCAGCCCGGTGGGCAGCCACTGTATTTCCTCCACGTTATGAAATACCACATGGAGATTAGAGCCGAGAAAGAAAAACAGGAAACCCACACATTGAGGGGCCGTGCCCCTGCTCAGGTGGGGGAGGGGGCAGAAGGAAGCCACTCCTGGCCTCAAGCCTGGGGCCCACCCACACTTCACTCCCTCTCCCAAGAGGTCCCCCCTTATGGCACCCACCCCAACCCCTTAGCCCACCACCTTCCCCCGGTAGCCCCCAGCTCTGCCTCTCTCCCGAAGGTGTCTCCCGAAGCTCATTGACTTCAGACCCCGGGCAAAGGTGGGGACACAGCTCCCTACAGCAGAGCTGGGACCGAATGAGACAAAGTCAGCGATCCCACTGGCTCAGGAGATCCCCCACCCCCACCACAGTGCCCGGCGTTGGTCCGGGAGCTTCTCTGGCCATTTGGGTGCCACCCGGGTGGGGATGCGCTCCTACCCTTCCTGGCCGCCCGCCGCCTGCCGCCCCCCTCGCCCTGCGCCCGCTGCTCCTTCCCCACACACGCTCTGCTGCCAGTTTGCCCAGTTCTCACAAGAGCCATCCCAGGGCGTGCCCCTCAGTCCGGTTCAGTGGGTGCCCACGGACCTCATTGTCAGAGAACCAGTGAGGCTGTGACGGCCAGGAGGCCATTGTGTTCACAGCCCATTGCTTCCTCGGCTCTAATCACTGTGCAGCGCTATCCTTGTCTAACAGCACGTACTGTGCGGTTTTGTAAATGTGACATTCAAAAGGCACACCTCGTCTGGTAGTGGCAGGAATGTACCTGCGGGTAGTCCCCTCCTTCGGCGTGGGGGGTTGGGAGGGCAGGGACCTGGGTGTCCCGTCCCTGGAAGTGTTCTTCCCTGATCTGGGCGGGGCTTACACCATCTAAAACCATATCTACGACTAACTTGGTGTGACACCAAAGTTTTTTTGAAAAGAAAGAAAAAAACAGTGTACCACCCTGCACACTCATCAGAGTAGCTAAAACGAAACAGATCACACAAAAAACTGAATTGCTGAATTTTTTTTAAATTGCTGGATATTTGAAGGTTTTTCCTTTCATCACTTTTTCATTCTTTTTCCTTCTCATCCATCAGCTCACCTCTCACCAGCGGGGCGCTGAGAAAGCAGGGACTCGGTCTCGGGTCCCCAAAGGTACCCAGTGAAAGGCATCATGGGGGTCGCAGAGGGAGCGACAGCCTGGGAACCCAGCAGCTCAGGGTTTCTTCCCAGTTCGGTACTGACTCGCTGGTGACCTGGGAAGGCCGGTCCTTCTCTGCTCCCCAGTTTTCTGATCTGTTGAAATATCTTCTCCCATATAGCTCCCCTCCCTGCTAGACACTGTGACTGTGCCCTGTCCTCCTCACTATAGCCTTGAGGAATTATCTCCACTGAGCGGATGGAGACATTAAGGCTCAGTGAGGGCGGTGAGGGGTGTGCTTCCAGCCACATGGGGGATGGAGCCGAGGAAGGCTCCCCACTCTAATCACAGATACAGAAATGCTGAAAACAACAACAACAACAACAACAACAACAAAACCCAACTCAAAACAAGTAAAAACAGTACATAGCTTTAAAAAGAAGGAAAAGAGGGAAGGGGTACACCCAGAAATTTAAAACCAGAGAAGTAAACAGGAGTGGATGCTGAGGACCCTGGGATATAAAACAAGATGCAGGTCTAGGTTGAAGCTGTTTTAAATGTTGTTGTTGTTGTTTTTTAATATATTTTATTGATTTTTTTTTTTTTTTTACAGAGAGGAAGGGAGAGGGATAGAGAGTGAGAAATATCGATCAGCTGCCTCCTGCACACCCCCGACCGGGGATGTGCCCACTACCAAGGTACACGCCCTTGACCAGAATCGAACCTGGAACCCTTCAGTCCGCAGACCAACAATTATAAACCACAAGGCAATGCACTCACTGCTCCGCGAGCTAAGCAGACAAAAGCGACAGGAGACTGAGCAGACCAAGCCTGGGAAGAGTTTATCGAATAACTTCTATTCCAGGTTACAGAGAGATGAGAGAAAAGAAACCTCAATTAAAGAACAAGAAAATATAAAGCAGGGCCCTAACCGGTTTGGCTCAGTGGATAGAGCATCCACCTGCGGACTGAGGGGTACCAGGTTCGATTCCGCTCAAGGGCATGTACCTTGGTTGCAGGCACATCCCCAGTGGGGGGTGTGCAGGAGGCAGCTGATTGATGTTTCTCTCTCTTCGATGTTTCTAACTCTCTATCCCTCTCTCTTCCTCTCTGTAAAAAATCAATAAAAATATATTTAAAAAAGAAAATATAAAGCAGGAAAGCGTGACCAATAACATGAGCATGTGGGATAGCCGAGCTGGGACTTCCCATTCTGAACGTTTGTTTCCTGTTCTTAAATACTTTGGGTGATATTGTGACCCTGAACACAGGCAATGCCCTCCTCCTACCCCACCTGCACCAGGTCTTCCCGCCCTCCGTCCGGGCCCCCCAATCCTACCTGGCACTAAGGAGGTGGTAAGGCAGGTGCCAATGGCCAGCACCAAGAACGGTGAGATCATAGTGAGCTCCAAGGCCTGCTCTCTCTCTGAAGCCAGAGGTACAGTCCACGTGGGTGGGCTGGCAGTGGTCAGCCGTTAGCTGATGTTAGCTGATGCTCCGATCCTAAAAATGAAAAATACATAATTAAAAAAAAAAAAAGACACATGGGCCACAGCTCCAGAGTTCATGGGTTCATTCACTCAATTCCTTTGTTGGTCCATTCATTCCCCAAGTCTTTGTTGAGCACCACAGGCCAAACCTAGGGACGCCAGCCTAGGTGGTCTCTCCCTTGGGAAGCTTAGTCACACGGCGGTAGAGTTATGAAGGAGTGCCATGCCACAAAGTGGTTCCCGCCCATTTCCCAAGCCAACTGGAACTGTCAGTCTGTCCATCGGAATCCACCAGCATTCGGGCACTCTGCACCCTGCTCCTCAAATTGTAGCCTGAGTCAGAGCCTCCTTCGGGGCTTGTGAAGCTAGACTCTGCCCCCATCCCCATCCTGGACCAGAGATTCTGACCGCACTGCCAACAAGCTCCCGGACGATGCCCCTGCTGTCGGCCCATGGGCCATCCCGTGAAAAGACTATTCTAGACCATCAGTCTTCAGGCTCTTGATTACCTGTGACCCAAGAACATCAGAGACAAAAAAAAAAGAGCCCCCCTTCTCTTCCAGAGCTTGTCCTTTACGGTGAGAGATAAAAACCACAGACGTGACCGATAGGAAGACTGGCCGGGAAGGGTGGCCATTTCTGGGTAGTAACGTTACAGATGACTCCGATGATTTATTTTTTCTTCAAGTTTCCTTCTGCGCTGAGATGCTACCTTTATACTTTTTTGAAAATGTGAACAGATGCTCGGGGGGTTCCACATCCTTGCCAACACTTGGGCTTCTCTGCGCGTGCACACACAGGAAGGGTTTGGGGTGATTCTTTCCTTCCCCCTCCCCTCCCGCCTGAGAGCTCTGGCTTCCGACTAATGTAAAGATGTCATGTGCCAACCACAGGGTTCCGACAACAAGGCAGAGCCCCCAGCAGCCCCTAGCGTGATGGGGGAGCCCAGCGGGGAGAATGACTGCTCCCCACCCATGGAGCCAGGCACCTGCAGCGATGGCAATGGCCTGAGGACCATCCTGGGGGCTTCCTGGCGTCAGCTTTAAACTATTTTGAATAACAATTTGCTGCATCGATATTGAATATTAATTTAACAGCATCTTTTATGATGCTAGGATTTACTCTAGAAATGTTTAGAAGCTACTGTAGAATAGAAATAATGATAAAGCACCCAAAACCCCGCCATTCAGTGCTGAGTGCCTGCTGTTAGAAGTTCCACGTCCTCCCTTTCCCCACTGCCAAGATGGGTGTTTTAGGAGCCAGGAGGGGGCCGGGGTGGGGGAGGGGGAGCACAGGGTTGTGCAATTGGACGGCGTGTCTGGTGAACTAGGGGTGTTTCGTGGGATGGGTGCCAATGGGCACTGGGGTGCAGCATGTATGGTTTTAAGGTTGACTCGACCTCACTTTCCCCGGAGGTAGAGTGCTTCTTACCAATCATAGAAGAGCAGGAGGTTAGGGTTGCCCCCGGCGATGGAGGAAGCCAAGCTTCTGCAGCCCTGGCTGGCCTAGGCCTCTGCTCCAGCCATGCAATGTTGTGCACCCCTACCGTTTCCCATGTGGAAGAGACTATTAATGGTACCGCTTCAAAATGGAGTTGGAGCCGCCATACCCGAGGGCCTGGCCCGCACGCCTTACTCCGCACACATGTGTGGAACGTTAGCACTGGGCCAGGTAACCCCGGGCGGGGCCCGAGGCAGCGCGTGGCGAAATAGCTGTTTGCAAAGAACGACAGGAAAGCAGACATCATGACTACGTCTGACTGAGAATTAATGGCACTCTTTACAATTGCCATTACTCTGTCAGGTCAGCTGCACCTGCAGAGAAATTCCTTCCTTAGTTCCTATGACTCATAAAAATCCCTTCCTTCTACTCCTGTAAATATTCCCCCTCCCTTTCTCAGAAATCCTCCTTGCCGTCAACTCCTAATGCTTCCCAGTATTGCAATTCTATTTTTTTTAATAATAGGTTTTAATTGTTACTATTATTTTTTAAAAAAACATTTTTATTGATTTCAGAGAGGAAGGGAGAGGGAGTGAGAGAAACATCAATGATGAAAGAGAATCGTTGATTGGCTGCATCCTGCACACACTCTATTGGGGATCGAACCCTGGATCCTTCAGTCAGCAGTCTGACTCTGTTCACTGATCCATTCTTTTTGGATCTCAAACGCTTGTTGCCTCTCACCTTGACTTTTTTTTGTTGTTTTTAGGTGAACATTCTCAACCAAAGGAAGAGTCATTTTAATCTTGGTTTTGGTGGAAATCATCATTTCCTATCACTAGGGAATTAATTCAGAAAGGGTGGCGGTGGCACTACCTGTAGCATTAAAGCCAGGCGTCAAAACAGCGGTGCGAATGGAGCTCACACACAGGACGGGGTGAAGAGGGCAAAGAAGAAGATGCAGTTCCCTGTGGTCAAATGTAAGCCACACCCTCCCACAGAACACAGCCTCATTCCCGAGGACACACACACTCAAGGCCATGTTCACCCATTAGCATGAGGGCCTGGCGGAGCTGTGGGGAGCGGGGAGCAGGATCGAGGAGGGAAATGAATAAGCAGGAAGTGAGCTCATGACAGCCCCCCATACCCTGAGATGGGACTTCTTTGGCTCTCTCGGCACTGAGGGTCCATCCATGGCAAACAGTGGGGAAGGAAAGGAAAGTGAAGGGTAACCCAGGAGACGGAAGGCTCGTCCCGCCCCCACTGGTTGCACTCGCTGTCTCTCTTCTCCGTTGGACTGACGGCTTTGTGACGGCACAGACCACCGGACCCATCTCTGGATTCCTGGCCCACACACAGCTCTGTGAATGCGGACTGAGTGGAAGACGCCAGGGTAATGGCCGGAGTGTTCTGGATGGGACATTGAGATGGGCTTGTCCTGGAAACGAACAGGTGCCTTCTCCATGGCCTCCCTCTGCTTGTAAAGGAGAGGGAGTGGGAATCCAGGAAGCCAGTCTGCCCTGCTGGCTCCCCTTTCTCATCCTCGCCACCACCCCAACCCCCACCCCCACCCCCACTCAGAGGCTCCAAGTCTGCAATCTGGCAGCCCCGGGTGACGGGCTCCGTGGGGCCCAGTCTGGGGCTGCGGGGGACCCGGCTGCCCACCACCCTCTGCCAATGCTCTGCCAGCTCAGAATGGAGCTTCCGAGTGTGCGCCAACCCCCTCACCCCCACTCCCAGCCGGTCCGTCTCTGCCAGGCTCCCAGCTACGTGCCCTGATTATTCATGACAAGCGTGCAGAAGTGCAGAAGCCCTGGCAGAGCCCGGAGCCCGAGGAGAAGGAGCAGCTACTTGGCAGGTCAGGGGCGGGAGCGAGGGGCTGGCCTTGGCCCGGAGTCAGCATCCTGGGGCAGAAGGCACGGGAGCTCGGGGAGGTGGGCGAAAGGCCCAGGACAAATGACAGAATAATAGAACCGATAAAAATCACCCTGTACCCGGCCTGTGCTGTGACCCGTGACCTCACTTCATCTTCCCAAGTGTCCTCCCATTTGAATTTAGGAAAGTGAGCGAAGCTTGTCCACGGCCAAGTGGACGCAACTTCTCTGAGCCTCAGTTTCCCCACCACGGAGGGAGGGATAGGCTAGTGCCCGCCCTTCCCCTGCCCCACAAGGGCAAACGGAAGAGAGGAGTTCAGGCGGGAAGGCTGGCAGCAGAGCCGGGCCAGGCGAGCGCCCCTACCTGAGCGGCCTGGCCAGGCGGCAGGTGAAGAAGCACAGCAGGCCCAGGGCCAGCGCCAGCAGGAGGAGGCTGAGGACCCCTGTGAGGACCAGGTCCAGCGTGGGGGTCAGGAGGGCCATCTCGAGGTGAGGAGGGTCTCCCCAGCCCTCTACACGCCTGGCCACCCTTGCCTCGGACGCTCGCTGGCTGCCAAAGCCCTGGGTCGGTGGCCGGCTGGTGTGACCTGGCTTTGTCCCCAGGTTAATCTGGATGGATTAGCCCAGGAGGGATGAAACGGGAGGGGACTGGCCACAAAGCTCCCCTCCCCCAGCCCAGTCCTGTCACACCGGCTGCTGGCTCCCTCATTCTTCATTCCCACGCGTTCACTGAGCACCTGCCGTCTGCCCAGCTCTGTCCTGGGCCCTCAGGGCTCAGAGGGAAGAGGGCAGATACAGCCTCTGTCCTCTCGGACGGTCCTGACCGGCCAGGGTAGGCAAGCACCTACTGTGCACCGACACTGAGCTGGCACCTTGTGGGATTAAAACAACAGCAGGAAAGGGACCCTGGTCTGTACCGCCTGGGGACTGGGGTCCAGCGAGGGTCAGTCAGGTCCCTGCCAGGTGCCAGTCCAGAGCCAGGGGTTGTCCAAGAGGCAGGCTGCAGGTCACTGAGCAGCATGCCACTGTCTGGAGGGGCCTGAAGGGCGCCCCCCCCCCCTCGCCCCGTTTTCATTCTCTCCTGGGTTCCCACAGCATCTCATGAAGTCGGGATGGTGAGGATGGTTCCCACTTTACAGACTCAGAAACAGAGGCGCGGAGAAGTGAAGCCGCTTGCCACAGGCAGAGCCTGGAAGGAAAGCCAGCGCTCCATGCCCCACTGGGCACTGCAGACCCTATGGTACAAGTCCCCGGAACCGGGGAGATGCTGCCACCCTGTCGGTGCCAAGGGAGGCCCTCTCTTCCCGGCCCCAGAAAGGCCACCGAAGTCACCGTGGGAACAGGAAAATCAGTGACATGACTCTACCAAACCTTTGTCATCCTGGTGATAAAAGGCAGGGTGGGGCGATTAGCCTCGCTGGCACAGGAGGGCACTGGGGCGGAGCAGTGGAGTCAGGTAGCCTAGCCAGCAGCTGAGGTCCAGACCCGGCTCCATCACTTCCCAGCTGCGGGATGCCAGGGGGTCCCTGCACCTCGGAGCACCCCTCTCCCGCTGAGGAAAGCACCTACGGTGTGGTGAGCTCGGTGAGACACCGC